GTACAGTTGTCTTAAGTACCATTTTTCATACATTGATAGTAGATTCAAGAGTTACATGATTTTTTTTTTTCTTTCTTTACTGAGGATTGAACTTAGACCCCCATGCATACTCTGCACATGTTCTACCACTGGGTTCTGTCCCCAACCCCATTTATGATACATAATATCTTTTAGCAGTCAAACATTATTCATAGAATCAAGCAAAAGAGACAGTGGTCGCTTATGTTTACCTGTAGTCTTACCTTTTCCATTGATCTTTCATCCTCATTATTAGTATTCTAAAGTTTCAGTTTGTTTGCTTCCCTGTCTGAAGAACTTGTGATAGATCTGCTAGCATCAAGTTTTCTTCATTTTCCTTCCTCTGAGAATCTTTATCTTACCTTCATTCCTGAAGGATGTTTATGTTGGATAAATAATCTTTGGTTGGCAAGCCTTTTCTTTGAACACTTGAAAAATGCTTGTAATTTTCTTCTACCGTGTATTATTATTTTTTTTAAAGAATACAAAATAGTGATATATAAAAACAGCATTAGAAATGATACAAAATTTCATTAAACAAAGTAATACGAATTCAACAATGGTTGCTGTATTGCATGATGCTATCTTCAAACCAGATATAAATGTGCAAGATTGGTTTAAAGAAAAAGTAACAAAAAAGTGGTAAGAAATTCAAAAGAAAAAATAAGTAAAAAGAGCAAGTATTAACTGTTCCTTTCAAAAGAACAGCAGACACCAGCAGTACAATTATCCAAACTATCCTGCATATATACCTAAATATATCTTGTTCACTTCTTTTTTTGTCTTTTTCCTCATCTCAGTTTTTCTTTCCCATTGAACAAATTCTTTCCCTTTCCCAGTTTTCATTGTACCTTTCAGATTTTATTTAGTCTTTCAGGTTCTCAGAGTGGCGAGACAGTATAAAGTTTGCGCATGTGGGTCTCATTTCACTAACTAATACAATCTCTACTTTGCATTTATTTATCTACAAAAGCCTTAAATTGACTTTTTATAGCTGAATAATACTCCATTGTATAAAAATACCATTTTTTATCAGTTCCTCAATTGATTGCCCTATATTAGTTATGAGACGTTTACTGTCATTCAAATCATTCTTCTTTTGTCAGTTCATACTTTTTTGTTGTTAATTATCTTCAGTTTTCAGAAATAGAATTATCATATATGTAGGCATTGTTTCTTTGAGTTCTTCCTGTTGGGAATTTGATTAGCTTTTTTTTTTTTTTTTTTTTTTTTGGCGGAACCAGGGATTGAACTCAGGCCCTTGCGCTTGCCAGGCAAGCACTGATTTTACTGAGCCATCTCCCTGGCCCCTGCTTAGCTTTTTATTTCTGTAACCTTGTGTCTTTTGCTAAATTTCAGAAGTTCTGAGTCATCTTTTTTTTGTCCTATGTTCTATCTGTCTGGAATTCCTACAAAACAGGTGTGTTGTTGTCCTATCTCTCCCTGAGAAAATAGTGAGGTTTTACAATTTGTTTTCTTTGTGTTATTCCTATTTGGGTAGTTGCTAGTGATCTTTCTTCAAGTTCACTGAATCTTCTGTAATGTCCATTCTTATTTTGAGCCAGTCTAGTGAGTTTAAAAATTTTCATTTATGAATTTTTAACTGTTAGATTTTAAATTTTCTGTTCGTTCGTTTGTTCGTTTGTTCTTTCTTTCTTTCTTTCTTTCTTTCTTTCTTTCTTTCTTTCTTTTTGGTACTGGAGATTGAACTCAGGACTTTGCACTTGCCAGGCAAGCGCTTATTCTACTGAGCTATCTCCCCAGCCCCTCTTTGTTATTTCTTTGCCAAGACTTTCTACTTAATCATTTATTTTAAGAGTATGCATAATTACATAGTTGTTGGAGCAAGCCTGCCTGCCTGCCTGCCTTCTAGACAACTGCTTCAAAATTCTTGCCAGATAAGTCCAACACCTGCATTATCTCATTGTTGATGTCTGTTGACTTTTTTCTTTCTTTAGAATTGGTGTTTTCTTAGTTCTTGATATGATAATTTTGGGCTGTATTAGGGGTATTTTGAGACTCCTAAGAAACTTGAGTTTCTATTTATGTACATGTTCTATTTTAGCACATAGTTGACCTGGTTGGTTCAGAACACATATCCTGACCCATTTTTGTCGTCTTTCGTTCCATTTTAGTTTTCAAAACCCTTTCATTGTTATTCTGGTCTGCCCTGATTGTGTGCTACTGCAAAGCAGTATGAAATATGAGTAGTTAAGTTTTCAGTAACATTTGTTGTTCTTATTCTGATTGCTTTAATACATGAGCTACTAGGAGTTATGTTTGGAAATATTACATAGATTGAAAAAATTTTTTCTTTCATATCCCTCTTCTCTTATTCCATTTCCCATTCTCTCTGGTTAGAAAGAGGGTAGTTTTATCACCTGTTTGCTACTATTTACCTGAAGTCCAAACAGTGATCAACAGAGTCAGAGCTCTTTCTTTATTGCAGTTTTTAACACCAGTAAGAACAAGAGGAAGAGGCGGCTACCGCTTTTTATCTTAATAAAAGCATGGGAATGGTTAACACGCTTCCACAGTGTTCACCCATACAGCTAAATGTAGTATCAGTATATTACAAGAGCAAGGAAAAATAATTCTTGTATCCAATTTGTGTAAAATATAATTCCTGAAATAAATGATTTAAAACCTGAAACAGGAATTAAGGGCAGGGGTTGGCAAATTATAACCCATGTTCATGTCTAGTCTGAGATCTATATTGGTAAATAATTTTTCAAAATACATTTACTCCAGTTTACACATGGTCTTAAGTGCCTATAACAGAGACTGATCTGGCCTGCAATATCTGGTCCCTTGAAGAAACTTCCATTTCATTTCATTATTTTATTTATTTATTTACTTTGAGCTAGGGTCTCGCTATGCAGTTCAGGCTGTACTCACTATGTAGCCCAGGCTGGCCTGGTACTCATAGTGATCTTCCTGCCTCCCAGGACTACAGGAGTGCACTACCATGCCTATCCTGCAGGAGCTGCTTGCAAGTCTGAATGTCCCCTAAAGGCTTAATTCTCACCTGATGGATGGCACTGCTGTGAGGTGGCAGAACCTTTAAGAGATGAGATTTAATGGAAGGAAGTTAGGTACTGGAGGTATGCCCTTGATGGAGGGCTATTAGGAACCTAGCCCCATCTTTTTGCTGCTTGGCTGCCATGATATGAAGAGCTCTACTCCACCATGCTGTTCCTACCATGATGTAATGTCTCACCACAGGGCCAGGTGACCATGTAAACCTGTGAACCGTAGGGCAAACAGTCTATTATCTTTCTTTCTTTCTTTCTTTCTTTTTTTTTTTTTTCTTTTTTTGCAGTAATGAGGATTGAACTCAGGCCCTTGTGCATGCCAGGCAAGCACTTATTCTACTGAGCTATCTCCCTGACCCAAGTCTTTATTTCTTATAATCGCTTTGTCTTAAGTGTTTGTCACAGGAATGGAAACTTGACTGATATAACTTCTGAATAGAAAATATTAAAAACCTAAATTAACTGTAATAAGCATCCTTATACAATCATGGTTTGAAGGTGCTTATTTTTGAAATCCAGCATGGTATAGAAGAAAGAATGTATGTGGAGTTTTGAACTATAGGCATACCTGGTTTTGGAGTTTTCCTTTAATTAGTTGTTTTAATATTCTCATGTAAATTGAACATGGATATAACTCTTCAATTTAGGAATCTAAATTGCTTAGAAGTTAAGAAATTCGTTTAATATCTCCCTTGGGATATGGTTGTGACATAAGATAGATAAAAAGCCCATATCGAGTGTTCCATACACAATGCTTATTTGGCGACAGGCAGTAACAATTATCTGGGATAATAAAGATTCCAATATAAAAACATGATTGCCTGATTCTCAATTTACTGATTTTTTTGGATGCAATTTTTAAGTATTTTGAGACCAAGTACTTTGGTTTTTATGTTCTTATTACATAACTGGGTGTAAGATTCACATTTGGCGGCTGACCATGTAGCTCAGTGATGGAATGTTTATGTACCATGCTTGAGACCCTGCGTTCAATCCCTATTCTTATGCACACTCGTGCACACATACACACAGTTTAAAATTTTGTATAAACATAGCTCTCTTCCAAAACATTGTATTTTTTAAAAAATTATTTTTCAAGAAAAATGGAAAGTTATCTTTTTCTCCTAAAATGTTGACGTTGTCACCAGATTTAGACCTGGAGTAGACCCACAACTGAATTTTAGGGTACCAAATCATTTTTTAATTTATCTAGACAAGATATATGTTTAAAAGTAAACATTTTTAGTTAATAGTCAAGCTTGATTAGTTAATTAGGTAACGCATAGTTTATGGTATCAAGATCCGAAATTCTTTTTTTTTTTTTTTTAAACCTTTTTTTATTATT